GGGGTATCCATAAAGATTTTACCCCCGGCAATGTCACTTAAGTAATTTTTTTATTAATATCGTACACAAGCTATGTCATTAATTGTTACAATTATGAGATATCGCACATGACAACTAACATAGTATTATTTCTAAATTGCTTTAAGTTATATTAATACATTACCTATTTAATTTCAAAGCGACAGTGTTGTCCGTCAGTGTTGTCACCTTGAAATGAAGGCGTATACGAATGACTTACAAATATAGCTAAATTTTGGTGATAAATTATTAATATATCGCATTTTTAAATAAAATATAAAATAACGCAATTTTTTAGATAATACTATGTTAGTTGTCAAGTGCGATATGTTATAACCAATTGTAAATAGATATTAATTTATTCATTTATTACATTGCATTGTATCTTACTGATCTTAACACTATTAACATAAATCCTGTGAGGGCACAGCAGTTTAGCTTAATTCACCATGGTTTTTATTATAATCGAAGAATTACGTGCAAATTATAAAAAGTGTTCGACAGTAAAAACTCTTTCAATTTGTTGACAAAAATATGTTCATTTTTAATATTTTTTATTGGAGTGGTATTTTGTTGTAAATCTTTATTGCCATATGGTATGCATCTGAAGAAACAATCTGTAAACTCGTAAAAGAACAACCAACTAATCATAAATTTGTTTCTATACAGAGCTATAAATTACATAATAATAGATTTAATGTACATATTTCATTTAATATTTATATTAAAAAAATTAATTCAGATTTTAGTGGATTTTTTAAATTGGAAACATCACATGAGAAGTTATAATAACACACACTCAACATAGCCCCGCACTAGGGAAACCCTGTGTCGCGGGTGCGTAGAATCGAACCTGGGACCTCTGCGTGGCAGTCCGGCACGGTAACCGTTCGGCCACAGAGGTAGTTAAGTAAGGTTTTTTAGTTGTCCATTGAATTAACTTAATTTTATTTATACATTTAATTTGGTTTGATATTTTATTATAAATTTTTATTCCATGAAATGCGGGGAATGTAGTTTTGAAAAAGGTACTTTTATTTTGTTACTCCAAACCCCGCCATTTTTGTTTTCCAGAACATCTTTTTTGTTTTATTAATAAGTGTTTTTATTGTAACTTTTAAAATTGTTAGTAAAGTAATTTGTCCTAATGTAGCATTGAAAAAAAAACAATTCTTTACTAAAATGTGTTCTTTCTTATCTGACATTTAAGGTGGAAATCACTACATATTGACATCATTTAATATGTGCGGTTTGTCGAACGATAACCCCAACTTAACTAGAAACTTTAGACCAATAACCGATCGTAAGGTAAAATTACCAGTAAAACTTGATCTCTATCGTAACTTTAAAAACGTTAAATGACGGCCGAATTAATTTGGGGGGTTGCAAGGTGCGTGACTGAAAAGTCTACACGCAAGTTAACACTATTCGGGTACTAAATGAGCTACGATTCCAAGCCGTCGAACATTCTGCTACTAACACTAGCTGGAATTGGTCAGAGCAGAACGCGACGTTACACCGGACGAACGTGTCAGAAATTTTGAACGCCGAATTTTCGCCGTCGATTGTTTTTCCCGCGTTTAAATATCGAACTCGTTTCGAGAATCGAAAATAATTTGAGTGTATTTGTGTGACTATTCGAAATTTAAAAATGGACGGGTGCGGAATGAGCTGCATCAAGTACCTGTTGGTCGTCTTTAACGGCTTGTTTATGGTAAGTGATTCTTTGTTTTTAATTAAAGAAAGTATAATTGATTTCTTATTTTTGAACAATTGCTTCCAATTCGTCCCATATTCTGTTTCCTAGAATATCTATTTCTGTATGTTTATTAATGTCGCGAGCTTTACGATTGTTTATTTTGGTCCGATTAGGTTGGTTAGCATCTTGTTTATATGTGATGCTTTTTTTAGTAGAGCTGTGAAATAAAAGTAGAATTTAGAAACTTTATTTATTTCGACTTTACATGTATTAAATAAAAGACAGAAATTTAATTTAGATGCATACATATAAAAAGTTATTCAAATACATTTTTATCGGGAGCATATATTTAAGATAATACTTTTTGTTTATGATTGTTGAAGGCAATTGATTTTAATGGTATTTGGAAGAAATTATATTTTTATGTTATGAGTTACTAAATTGGTAGTTTCTAAACAAGCAATTCAATCTAAGTATTTTCATTTGCATACGTAATCATGTCGTTTTTGAATTTCAAATACCATATTAGATTTCGTTTCCATACTCATCCATACGATTTAAGTTTAAATATAGCGTGTTAATTATTTATTCCTCCAGTCGTTATATTTTCAAAACCTATAGACTTTATCACGTTTTTAGGTTGTCACCATTTCGGATCAAAATTCTCTATGTACTTGTTTTTTTTTTTCAAACAAATCAATGAAAAGGGTAGGTTTGTTGTATATTAAACCGGTCATGGGACTTTTAAATACCTCTTTTATAGCAGTGGAACTCCTTACGAAATTCGTCCAGGGAAGTACTGTCACCTTACCTATTTCTGCCGCCAAACGGTTACTTGAGCATTACTGCGTTCCGATTTTGAAAGGTAAGGGTGCTGGTAAAATTGCATCCTCATGGGACTTATAAAACAGAGTAAATTAATAAATAAATGTTAAACAACATCAGACACGTTGTTCTGATCCCAAAGTAATTAACTAAAGCATTTATTATAGAAATCGGAAACAACGACGGTACCACAAACACCCAGATCCGAAACAATACAGAAATGTTTGTTTTCTACATTAACCCGGCCGGGAATCGAAACCGGGATCTCAGAGATGGCGACACCATGAAAACCGGTGTGTAAGCCAGTTGATCACGGAGATCGTCAAACGGAGCGTTAGTGCTCCTCAGATCTTTGCGATTTAAAGCTCTAAATGCCACTGCTATGGACAGGCGTGTCGCTTACCACCAGGTGCTCGACTTGTTTGTCCCGTCACTGAACATTATGATGTCAAATTTTGGTTTGTTTAAAAAAAAAAGAGGTTTAGATCCTAAAAAATTTTTACATTTCAAATCAATCATTTTTTGTTCTAAAAGGTTAATATAAAATTCATATCGGGACTTCATCATCGCCCCGTTTGTACGTCCCACTGTTGGGCACGGTTCTCTGGAGCTTAAACTACGTTTCGGACATGTTGCAACGTCCATGATCTCATAGGGACTCAAGATCCGGCAGCCAAGCTCAAGATATTACATTCAAATAATGTGTTAAAAGATGTAAAAGTTTTTAGTCGAAAGTATATAATTTAAGAGGCTTCTAACAAAATATGACTCTATATTGTTAGTTAAGAACGGTGGTAACACAGTAGGAGAACAGCTGCTTTTAATTGACAGGTCGACCAATTGAACCCTATGGCAGTACATACCTAAGACTCTAATTACTAAGATTCGCACATTTGTGAATATAATACCTCTACCGGTGAAGAAAAATCATCGCATAGAAACTTGCATATATAAGATTCACAATCCTCGGAAAACTTTTTTTTTATGACATCAAGCGACGGGACGAGCAAGTCGTGCGCCTGATGGTAAGCTACACGCCTGTCCGTAACAGTTACAGTGTCACTCAGAGCTTTCAATTGCAAAGATCTGCCATTGCGTAACTTGAGACATAAGTTGAAAAGTCCCATGTGCCTGTAATGTCACCAACCCCTTCAAAACCGAAACGCAGCTCACTTCACTGCTTGGCGGCAGAATTAAGGTACGGTAAAAATCGCATATTATAATAACAATGCCAGAAAATCACACCAATTTTTTGGTCTATTAGGGAATTTCTTCTATGAGTACTAGAAAAACGATAAGTTTGAGGTTAATACCTAGAATACCCAGACCAGAACCAATTTTAAAATGCTATTTTGTGTCACCGAAGAGCATAGGCATACCCCGTAATCTAAACACTACCACGCGCCGCAGATCGAAGCTGATCCCACCGTAAGACCATTCGTAAAAGATAAAGTTATCAATAAAACTATACAAAAAAAAATGTAAATCCTGCAATTAGGTAGAGGCCAAGAGTCTTGTAAACAATAGAACATTTTAACTGTCTAGTTAACAAGAAACCTACACAAAAAAAGATTAATGGTTTACAAAGTAGGCCGTAACTATATATATCTAAGTAATTCAAGGTAGGACACGTTTTTATTGAGACTCAGTGTGGGTATTCTATCTTGTTTTAAATTTATTCTTTCCAAATAAGACAAAATCCACTTACGTGACCTATGGGCACAGTTTCATGTCAATTTATAATGGGCATTTTGTTTTGTAAAACTTGTCACAGGGCTGAGTCAAAACGGGGTAGAAAATGAGTATTTGTTATGCAATTCTGCAAAAGTTGTTGTATGACGCGAGTACTTGTACCCGAGCAAGCAAAGTATTCAATATAATAAAAAATAGAATCCTGCGCGTAGCGAGGGTTTCAAGACACGAGACGCAAAACAACTGTGCTGTCGAGCGAAACACGCGACTTTTCAAAGAAAAACAGTTCAACTATAACAAATATTTGCAACAACAAATATTACATAAACAATGCACGACAAATCGCGTAGTTAACGTGATCGAAAGAAAAAGTTAGGTGCACCACGGTCCATCGTCAAGTTCGCTTTTGCGCGCAGATTTCTAATGAGAAAGCCTTTCCGAGCTAGTAAGGTGAAAAATATATTTTCAGAAACTCAATGACCTTGTGATTGAATTAACAATATTATTTACCTCAACGCTAATGACAGGTGATATTTATAGTAAGTACTTTTTTGCGTGCTTATGTTCCTGACGAAAATCAGCGGTCATTGCAGGTGGTACTAACCATCTCTAGACTTTAGAGCGGAACGGAAATGTTGCAATAATAATAATCAGTCCCTACAACAATTGGCCCGTAAATGTTAAAAAAAATTAGGACATTCAAAGAAAATGTGATCAAGGCTATCCTCATCCAAACCACATTCACACAAATAGCTATCACCATGTAAATAGACATCTTTGTTTAAGTCTTCCTTGCCATGGCAGTGATAGTACTTGAACTGGAATTATAATAAACAAGTCTTGTACAAGCCTCGTTTGCCATCAGCAAGTGTATTATATAACGTTACTTAATAAATTTAAAGAGACCCAACAGTTACTTTTTTCGTTTAAGTCAAACAAGTTCTCCAAATAAAGTTCGTCCGGTATTTTGATTGACACGAGTTGACAAGAGCTTTCTGTGTCTGATTGAGCACTGTTGACAAGCGACTGTCAACTTTAAAGTTAGCCTCCTTAAACTGGTTCTTCTGTGGTCTGTCCCGACTGCGCCAGCTGCGTGATACGCGTGATGAACAATGCTATTTCGTTTACGACCCCAGCTCCACGTGCGTTTCGAAAATAACTAAGAAATTGACAGCGAAGTAACAATAACGACAATCCAGAATTCTACGAATTTATGTACAACACTAGTAACGCATTTGCATAGCAATACAAAGGGGGAACGCTGCCAGCGTCTTGGGCACCTTGACGCGAGGACCCAAATTTATTCCTATAATTTAAAAATCCTAGTTTTACTTTCTAGTAGTTAAGCTCTTATTGTCTTTTTTACCTTACCTGGGTATTATCTTAATTAATAAAACATTTCTTCAAACATTAAAAAAATACAAGTATTAATATACAAGTATTCAAAATAAAAATTATCACTTTCTGAAAAAAAAAAGACAGAGAAATGTAGTGATGTATAAAAGACATATTTATTTATTCAGCGAATACTGTATTTCGAATACAATTCATCAAAGTTTGATGGTAGGGCAATTTACGAACAAAAATGTACGTAAATAAGATTATAATCTTACAATGGCATCACAGTACTTTTTTATGATAATAAAAATGGAAGTAAATTAATTTGCTACTCCGCGAACCCACTGAAGGTTAAATCGTGCAATATACCAGGCTTATGTGGAATATTGTCACGCAGCTAATTTTCCCACCCTTCCTCCGCATAAAATTATAATAAAATAAATAACACAAGCGCAACTACAGTCACAAACACGAACATCAAAAATATACCTAACATACGGGTATTTTTTGGTAAAATTAACTATTGAATAATAGTAACTTTTTTGAAGACAAATAGTGCTAGGAATTATATTTATACAAGGATACGAATAGTAAACCGCCTGTTCTTGACAGTCACCTTCCCAAAGTCACAAATACATACCGGGTGGAAATTTGTAATGCCACCTGGAGGGGAAGTACTCTGAATACTGGAGATAGAAATTTTTACTTAAAGGAAACATTCCTTTATTTTTTAGAAGAAATAAAACTGCATTCATAGATTTTCGAAAATTTCTAGCAACACTCGGGAATCGACCCGCTTTAATCTGAAAAAAATGCTCCCTGCATTTTTATTGCATCGATTGATAGGGTTAATTATAAGAATAAAAAAAAATTCGTTAAAAGATTAATTTGTGTATCCAAGAAAATGGAGCTCATTTCGAGCAACTAATTAGTTAGATCACCATTTTTTTCGTTTTATTAAAATACGTTAAGATTTCTTGGTCTTTTTTTTTCATTTAATTAACTAATTTTGTGAGAGAGATTTTATTCCTATAATTAACCCTATCGATCAACGCAATAAAACTGCAGGGTGCATTTTTTTCAGATTAAAGGGGGTCGATTCTGCTAGATTCGATGTTGCTAGAAATTTTCGAAAATCTATGAATGCAGTTTTATTTCTT